TAAAAGGAAGAGAAAAAGAAAGAAAGAGCCCTGGGGCCTCAATTTTTCGCGCTGACTCCTCCCGGGCCCCAAAAAGAACCCACCCCCACGAGAAGCGTAAGATCAGTGAAAAAAATGTTCAAACCAGCTGCGAGATGATCTCGTGAATCGATAGTCGGTGTCCGACGAGGCACGTTCTCGAAATTCGAACGGTGGACGATGGATAATTATTGAGAGCAACGAGACGACGAGAAAGAAGAGAGGGGAAAAAAAATGAGATAATCGGAGAACGCGACATCGACCCGAAACTCGCGTAGGATTTCCTTTTAACAATTCGGCTGAAGAAGATAGTTTCGCTTCGACTCTAGAACTGCTGGAGGTAATATCGCCTCTAGCCGATTATTTAGACCTCGAGTCGCCATGATAAATTCTAGAATTCCGTAGGGGATTTGTATCGGAGAATTCGTATGTCGCGGCTCGATTCGATCGCGAGTCGAGCGACGTAAGGGACAAAACGAGGGAAAAGAAGAAGAAGCAGAAGAAGGAGAAGAAGAAGAAGAAAAAAGAAGAAGATTAAAATAAAGAGAAAAGACAAACGTGCGTGGCGATGGGTTGGGATCAGATTAATTAATTGTATCTCGGAATATTTGAAAGTTTTTTCGATTACTGCGCGTTCGACGATCGCCGCGCGAGGCTGACGTGTTTATACATTTTATTAGAGTCTATTTGAGAAACACATACACACGTACACACACTTACACGGAACACAGGAGGGACAGGTTGCACACTTTGTGTATATAGTGTACATACGTATTGTATACGTACGTATGCGGCGACACTTCCACCTTTATCGACAAACAAGTAAATTACGATCGAGGTAAAGAGACAAAAGAGATAAAAAAAAAATGAACAAAAAAGATAACTACCATAGACGATGAATCGATAGAAGTACTGTGTAAATATTGTAAGAAGCCTTTCGAACGAGGTCTTTCCGCGTCCACCCGCGTGTGCCCTGGAAAGGACCACGTTTAAATCTACCAAGAATATTTGTAAGAGCGATCTACTCTTGTTTTTACGAAGCACCACGAGCGTTATTGCTACTGTAAAATATTTGTCGATTTAATACTGACACGCGTAACCGCGTCGATTGCGTGCATAGGGTTGCCACACCGACGGAATGCTTTAACGAACATGAATTCGAAAAGAATCTGCCATTCGGAATCTTTTGCTGGAAGATAACAAGCATGAGTATCTTGAACCTTCGATTTTTAACAATTTCCCATTTTTTATACTTAAGGTATCGATACAATAGGCTTCTAAGATAATAGAGTGTCCGATGATACCGTTTTCATCGACCGAGAAAAGCATTCTTGACACTTAAATCTTTAATGAAAATGTTGTTCCATTGAAACATTAATAAATTCGTTGTTTCCGTAAATTGCATGGAATAAAGTATTAGAAGTAACCTCAGAGAACGATAAATTAGCCGAGGAAGTAAGGAAAATATTGATTTTTTCTATATAGCGCCGTAAAGTCGGTCGCACGCTTGCGCGGTGGCCGACGAGCGCCGGCCGACACCGCTTGTGCAGGCGTCGAAGTCTCCGGCGCGGCGTTGAAGTCACCGTGGCCGCGCTGGCGTCGGCGCGGCGCTCCAGCTCGCTAATTTTCGCGAAATCTTGTTAGGCACAAAGTATCGCATAGTTTTGCACATTCTTACGAGTCCACGTAACCTGTTTTACATTAATTAATAAATATATTTAAGCCTCGAATAGGAATAATACCGTACGAATTTCCGCAAGTTTTTGTGTAGAATTTCTGTAGCTTTTTCGACATGTCGACGATTTTTATTCTTCCATTCGATTGCCGGCGCACGCGACAACACTGGCAGCCCTATGCACGGACGTGGCAGCAGATCACACGCAGATCGAATCTCTTGATCGCTCGTGTACATTGATTTTTAGAAGCGCACGCATCACGTTGTTTCTTAAGTAGAACGAATTTGTCACAGGCACGCCGTTCGTCGCGATCTAGTGTCGGGTGCCGCGCGAAGCCGACGTAGCTGAGTAAGGGGGGCGAAAGAAATATACGACAGCGTTGTAAAATGAATTTCAAGTCGTTTAGACGGTAACGTTGTCGTCTGCGCATCGTTAGGATAGTATGATGCGAGAGACTTTCTTTCATCGCGAATATTTTTGAGCGATACGCTTTCCTCACCGCGTGTGACTTTATTGCAAATCTTAGGCGAATTTTCCTATTATTTTGTCTAGCACATTTGCGATCGGTGGTTCGCACCAATAGATCGGCGACGTCGGTCGATTGACTCACCAGGCGCTGAATACTTGGATTTTCTTCTCGAACTTCAGATCTGAATAGCGTCGCATTCGATTGTTTTTTTAATTCAACCCCTCATTATCGATAATATTAAGTGTTTATTCATTTCAATTTCAATATAATAAGGCAAGGGGTTAATTAACTTTACGATTACCGAAAGTAAGCATAGTTTCACTAACGATCCACGATCGATTTTTCTCTAGTTTCATCGGAAAACGGAATCCGCATTGACGATTCCAATCTTCTCGTTTTACCAGTTCGTAATTAGCGTGATTGAATCTTGAATTTTCATACGAATCTCTTAAATGAATTTTATCGTCGAGTAATAGGTAAATTTTATCGCGGAACCTGGCGTTTCCACGCGAAATGAATGTTTAAATGAATTTTATCGGCGCCTTTAAGGGTTAGGGAAGCAATTCGTGTGAGAAGAGTTTTCTGCGCGCAAACGCTTAATCGAATTTCCTTAGCGCGGCGTGCCGTTCTTGATTTTTCGCTTGCCGCGACCGCGTCGATGGTAAACCGCTTTAATCTTTAAGGCAGAAACATTTTTTGTAAAAGACGAGAAACATAAAAAAACGATCGAGGAACGAGACGGTCCCGCTCCACGATCCGTGATCGCCGAGAGCAGAAACGGGGTGATTTTTCGTGATCGAGTTTCGCGAGGAACGATTTTATACTCGGACCGTACCGGATCCGAGGCAGCGGTCCCGCTGACTGTAAAATCCTTTCGCAGCCAACTTTTGTATATACTAGGTGAAAATAATAATAATAATAATAACTTGCATACACGATCACTGGTGACGATTCTACTTAAAGATACTCACGCTTCCACTTTTGTGTGAACGAGCTCGCCCTTTGTCCGGCTCGAGTGAAAGGTTCTTTTTTCCCGGCGCGTTCAAATTTCGAACACGCCGATGATTATTCGAGTGTGTATTTCGGAGAAGAGTGTGATGATTGCTGTTCCTTTTCCGGCTCGAATTCGTCTTGCGAAGTTGACGACGTTGTCCAGTCACTTTATTCGCTTCTCCTTCGACTACAAGCATCAAGTCTAAATATTCTATTGCTCCGATCAAGCAAACGATCGAATGTTCTTAGGTAACAATGAATTTTATTGAAACGTTGTATATCTTTATATTTTGTTATTTATTTTCCTTCTCATTATTTGCCATTTAGTTTACCGAGTTCATCGGGTCAATCGATGAACGAATGAACTTCCTCAGTCTGTCGATTAACGTTGTTTTGATGATGGACAAACGTGAACGACGTCGCGAAGAACGCATTGCCAAACGATTTTAATTCCTAGTCGTGCAAATTTTCTCTTTAGACGGACCCAACGTAATCGATGTGTGATGAGCTACGATAGACGGACATTTTTTACGATATTTTGTAAGAGTCGTTAGCGATAGGGAATCCACGTCACGCAGATCCCGGGAAGAGGACACACGGACGCGTGGTGTAACGTCACGCGACTAATCCAGACGAGAAATTTTGTCAACCCTTGAACATTTCCGTAGAGAACGATCTACTTACGTAGGCGACACGAAGCTGACAAACCACCGAGAATCTCCGTCAGCTTGACACTTCGGTTTAGACCAGAATTTTAGCGGCTTCCGGTCGGTCCGTTCTTTGTTTCGGTGTATCGAGTAGCGTTCGACTCTGTAACGTCCAAGAAACTAGCGCGCTGAATTTATTGAAAAAAAAGTAAATAAACAGATAAATAAAACTAGTAACGAATTAAAGGGAAGAAAAAGTCTTAGCTTAAATCGAGAGCGATTCGGAATACGTAAATCTCCGTAG